GTAATTCTCCCAAAAAGAAATACAAAAACCACCAGTTGTACCCACGTTTTCATTGAGACTACACTATTGCACAAAAACGTCAATTAGTCTGACATTTTTAGTTAAAACGTCGTTCCAACTGACGTTTTTAAAATTAATTGGGTTTGAGAAATATTTTTAAAATAACCCTCTTTTGGGTATTTTTTTTTTAAAACCCATGTGTTGGGGTAAAAGCTCTAGAATATTCCAACCTCGTTTTCTTCTCCCCCAATTTTTTTTCCTTTTTATTCCTTACAGGATACATCTGCATACTTTTCCATGGTTATGAAAAAAGTCCCAACAATGGATTAGTTGACAGAATTGACAACAAAACATCGGGATTTCCGACCAAAGTCCCCGTCAACACTATGGTTTTGTCTAGATTCAAGCCAGTGATTGTATATCCCAATTCCCATGAAAAATGAATCAATTCTGCATCGGCAGTTGTTAAGGGGCTTCTTCTTTGTTGTTTTCCTCCTGTAATCTCTATTTTTTTTACGTCTTGAACATTGTGTTCTTCAGTTCATACAACTAAGATGATACAATTGACTTATTTGTCTCATCCATCTTAAAAATTATCAACCACTGTGTTTTGTTATTAATTCCTAGAATTGATCCATTGAAAAGTGACAAACATATTTGGCCAAAATAAACACCTATATAAGTTCATTTTTTTGTATTGAGCTAAGCAATTGAGAGAATTTCAAAAGCTCGAACAGCCATGGAATTCTACGAGGTTTTCAGTTTTGTGGGAATTCTGAGGGAATCCATCACACTGCTATCTAAAAATGGGAAGCTTAAGGCCTTCGTAACCACACTCTCCCTCCTCCTTTACACACTTTTCTTCTTCTTGAACATCTTCTCCGTCAAACCCTTGATCTTTGATTTGGTTGAGGTAGTGTCTGGTGGCTCTGATTTGATCACGCTGATGGCTCATGTCAAAGATGATCTCGGAATCCTCCTAGTAGTCGAATATATTTTCATTTGTGCTACCTTAGCTCTTGCACTATATACTACAACCGCAACCATTTTCATATCAGCCACCTCTTACTGCAGCACGACCATGTCAATCAAGGATTTGGTCTTGAAGGTGGCACGATCATGGAAAAGGCCATTCATCACTGGTTTTTACACTACCCTTCTTGGAATAGGATACATTTCTGTTTTAATGGTCACAACGCCAACAATATTGATGATTTCTGATAATCTAATCGCCTCTAAAGCAATTGTAATCATCTTTGCAATTTTGGGTGCAATTCTCTCTCTCCCATTAACCGCGATTTGTGTATTAGCCTTGGTGATTTCGGTGATGGAAGAGGACTGTTATGGAATTGAGGCACTAGGAAAAGCTGGAAAGCTTGTTAAGGGCAATAGGGTGCAGTGCTTTATTCTGAGTCTTTTATTTATGGTGGCGGCATTGATTTTGTACCAGTGTTTCAGGGTAGTGAAAAATGATGAACTGCTTGGGACTTCAACAATACTTATCGGGTTGTTTCGGATATATTCTCTATATTTGGTGAACATGTTCCAATTCATGACATATACTGTGGTATACTTCCGGTGTAAGAAGAACCATGGTGAAGAGATGGAATTGCAGTGGAGCACTGCCCCCGACTACATGATGATAAAAACTACACTACTTGATAATAAGGATACACCATGAAAAAAGGGACTAATATTTTATTTTTTCGGTTTAATAAACTATCATACCTAATTTGACCCAAATGTAATCTCTTTCATAATGTACTAACTAGCGTCCACTCCATGTAATGCACGAGATTTACATATATATAAGAAATGGTGGAGCAAAAGTTTCTCAGCCATCACTAATAAATTATTTGCTTTCCGTTTGTATGGTAATTTCCGCTTGTAAGGTTTCTCGGCCATCTCCAATAAATTATTTACTTATTAAAATAGTTTGAATTTTTGTATTTGTTTGCTTTTTCATTTTTCCTGCAAAATGGTTGTATTCAGAACACAATAACTCACTAACATCGTCCATCTGAAATAATTNAAATAGTTTGAATTTTTGTATTTGTTTGCTTTTTCATTTTTCCTGCAAAATGGTTGTATTCAGAACACAATAACTCACTAACATCGTCCATCTGAAATAATTGTATCCAGTGTACAATGACTTACTAACATCAACCATTTGAAACAATGTTTAGATTGTAGAATGAAGTTTTGAATAGAGGTAAATAAGTGCATAGAGCACATGAAAAAAAAAATAGATTTTTTTTTTTTTTTGTTTTATAATGTTTCTTTTTCCATTTTTGAGTTTGCTCTCTTCCGATAAATTTAACTTCTATAATTGTATAATACTGAAATGTTAAGAGGTATAATGAAATTAGTACTTAAATATGTCTTTATTTTTGACAATATTTTTTTTTACTTTACCCTAAAAAAATTGTTACTAAATGGTACATTACTTTCAAAAGGTTTGACTCTNATTTTTTTTTTAATTTACCCTAAAAAAATTGTTACTAAATGGTACATTACTTTCAAAAGGTTTGACTCTGGTGTCAAAGAAAAGGACTTATGATGGAACCAAATGACCAACTCTATGTACTGAGGCCCGAAGGATACCATTCTGCTAATCCACATGCAATTTCGATTACATTTTCTAGCAAGGATAATGTATGCCCAAAATTCTGATTTACAATTTATTTTTTTTTTGGTTTTTTCTTCTTGTACATAAAAGACAATAGGATGAACTAGCCAAAATAAATGCAAGGTAACCGTCGTGAGTTGGTATCATACTTGTTAGAAATAATAAAGGGTTACTAGTATTTTTGGTCCTTACAATATGCATATTTTGTTAGTTTAGTCTTTATTATATCAATTTTGTCAATTTGATTCATAAAACATTCAATTCGTGTCATTTTGATCTCTACTTAGATAGACCGTTAAATTTTTGACAAAATAATTACGTATTAGCCAAATGATATTGTCTAATAAAATGATATGTGACCACTTTCGTAAAAAAATTAATGAATTTTGTAAAGAGAACATAACTACAAGGGGATAATGTGCATGCATAGTTTTAAACGTCAAATAAGTAAAATGTTTCTAACCAAAACCACAAGGAGGTAAAAAATAATTAATCTTAGTTTAAATTACTTAACGAAATTGAGATTTGGATAATTTTATGTTTACCAAATTTGTGCACCAAATCAATTGCAGCCGTAGGATCCATGATAGAACCCACTAATCCCACGGTTCCTAGTGATTTAGTGCACATAGCATTGCACTTGAGATTTTGGTAGACTTGCCACCCTCCAATTTTTCAAACAAGGTGATACATTTTTTTTTGGGTTCATCATTAATGGATTTGTCAATAGAGTCGACAAAAACATTGGAACTTCCGACCCTAAGTTCCCCATCAACACTGCATTTTTGTCTAGATTCAATGCTGTGTTGTAGATCCCATAAAACATGAATCAATTCTGCATCATCAATTGCTAACCGGCTTCTTCTTTGTTTTTTTCTCTCTAGGGGTCATGTACATACTGTTCCCATGTACAGATAGGAAGAATGAGAAAAATATGAAGTGGAAAATGAGAATAGAGATAAATGTAAGTAGTTAAATGTGATTAGAGAAAAAATTCTAGGTGATTAAATGATAAAAACACATAAAATATTAATTTACCAATACATTTGTAATT